CCCGTGGTCCGTGACATCGCCGAAGGGCCTACCTTCAGGTATAAGGCCGTCCGCCCCATGCCGCCGACCCACCGCCGACCATGTGCCGAACTTTTGCGCTGCGCCAAGCTGGGCCCACCCTTATAAGGGGCGAAGGATTTGCGGATTTGCTCATGCGATTTTTGGCGGCTTTTTGAGCATCTCCCCGCGGAGTCAAAAAACGAGTGTTTTCTGGGGGGTGCCCATAGTGGACAACATCCCCGGCATCACCTGCATCATCCGCATCCTTGGCGGACATTGATGCGGATGATGCCGGTGATGCGGGGGATGCTGGGGATGTTGTCCCCGAAGTCGGCCAATTTTGCCGAAAACGTGCAACCTGAAAATCTTAAAATCTTAAAGTGGATGGAGAATGGATGGAAAATGGCTTGGATTGAAATTTCAAAATCCTAAAGTCTTAGATTCTTAAAATCTTAAATTAAAATCTAACAATCAATCTTAGAATCTCGAGATCTTAAAATCTTCGAACTTAGAATCTTAAAATCTGAAAATATAAAACATCCTAAAGTCTCGGGGGATGCTGGGGATGTTGTCCCCTAAGTTGGGCCAACTTTGCCGAAAACATGCAACCTGAAAATCTTAAAATCTTAAAGTGGATGGAAAATGGATGGAAAATGGCCTGGATTGAAATCTCAAAATCCTAAAGCTTAAAATCTGAAATATAAAAACATCCTAAAATCTCGGGGGATGCTGGGGATGTTGTCCCCTAAGTCGGGCCAACTTTGCAAAAACGTGCAACCTGAAAATCTCAAAATCTTAAAGTGGATGGAAAATGGATGGAAAATGGCCTGGATTGAAATCTCAAAATCCTAAAGTCTTAGATTCTTAAAATCTTAAATTAAAATCTAACAATCAATCTTAGAATCTCGAGATCTTAAAATCTTCGAACTTAGAATCTTAAAATCTGAAAATATAAAAACATCCTAAAGTCTTCGAATCTTGAAATCTTAAAACCCTTATGTCTTAGAATTTTGCGATCTTAACTCTTAAAATGTGAAATTCCTACAGTCTTAAACTCTTACTCTTGAAATTTGGAAATTTTGAAACCTCAAGATCTTAAACTTACAACCTTACAAAAAAAATCTTACAATCTGAAAATATAAACATCCTAAAGTCTTCGAATCTTGACTTCTTAAAACCCGAATATCTTTGAATCTTCAGATGTTAAAATCCAAAAAAATATGAACTTCCTAAATTCTCAAAGTCTTAAAATCTCAGAATCTGAAAAGCTTTCAAAACTTAAATTCTTTAAATCTCGAACTATTGCAATCTGAAAATCTTAACTTCATAAACAAGTCAAATATAATAAAATTCCTTCAATCCGGGCTATATTTTAAATTCCTTAAACTCTTAATCTTGAAATTTTGAAGCCTTAAAATCTTGAGATCTTAAAATCTTAAATTCCGAAAGTCGCCAAATCTGAAAATCTCCGAAAAATAAAATCTTAAAGCCTTCGAAATCTGATAATAGATGGAAAATGGCTGGGCAATGGCCTGGCTGTTATAACCTTCAAAAATTTTAAATCTTTGAATCTTAACACCTTAATTCTTAAACCATTGAAACCTTAAATTCCGATAGTCTTCAAATCTGAGACCCTTAAAATCTCAAAGTTTTTAGAATCTGAAAATCTTAACATCTACTAATCGGACTTACAGACAGAACGAGCAGGGCAAGGTGCCCGGTGGCCGGCTGTGTCGCGTCAGCGTGTAAATCCGGGCGCCCACAGGCAAGCCCGTGGTTTCCCCGGAGGCCTTCGGTTCCCTCTAACCGAAGGTTATAAGGCTCGAGCCCCCTGCCGCCGACCCACTCTAGGTTCACTCTAGGTTCACTCTAGGTTCACTCTAGGTTCACTCTAGCCCCACTCTAGGTTCACTCCACGTTCACTCCGTGTCGACTTGTTGAGCATATCACCTGCATCGTCCGCATCATGGCGGACATTGATGCGGATAAGGCCGGTGATGCGGGGGATGCTGGGGATGTTGTCCCCTGAGTCGGGCCAATTTTGCCGAGAACGTGCAAAAAACACCGTGTTTTTGAAGGTTTTTGGCGGGTGCAAACGTGGAAAATATGAAACCTGCTTAGCAGGCAGGCTTCAACGGTCCCGGCCGAACTCGATTTTTGGTATGCTTTTCGGTGAACCGCAGCAAAAACACTGTGTTTTCGATAGTTTTGTATGGATTCAAGGCCGGGCACAAACGTGGAAAATGTGGAAACCTGCTGAGCAGGCAGGGCTCACCTCTCCCCGGCCGAGCCCGATTTCTGGCAGCGTTTTTGTAGAAAAACCGTGTGTTTTTGCTGGTTTTGTATGGGTTCCAGGCCGCGCGGTTGCGAAAATCATGACAGCACGTGGAACACTGACGCTTTTCGGGGCGCCCGGCTGTCATAAATCCAGGCGAGCCCGTGGTTTCCTCGGAGGCCTTCGGTTCCCTTGTTAACCGAAGGTTATAAGGCCCGCGCCCCCTGCTACGGGCACACTCTAGGTTCACTATAGCCTCACTCCAGGTTCACTCCACGTTCACTCCGTGTCGAACGGAGGCTGCATTCACTGCTAAGGGGCGAAGGATTTGTGAATTTGTTCAGGCGATTTTTGACAATTTGTTGAGCATATCACCTGCATCGTCCGCATCCATGGCGGACATTGACGCGGATAAGGCCGGTGATGCGGGGGGGGGGGGGGATGCTGGGGATGTTGTCCCCTGAGTCGGGCCAATTTTGCCGAGAACGTGCAAAAACACCGTGTTTTTGAAGGTTTTCGGCGGGCGCAAACGTGCAAAATATGGAAACCTGCTTAGCAGGCGGGCTTCAACGGTCCCGGCCGAACTCGATTTTTGGTAGGATTTTCGGTGAACCGCAGAAAAAACACTGTGTTTTCGATAGTTTTGTATGGATTCAAGGCCGCGCGCAAACGTGGAAAATGTGGACACCTGCTTAGCAGGCAGGGCTCACCCCGGCCGAACCCGATTTCTGGCAGCGTTTTTGTAGAAAAACCGTGTGTTTTTGCTGGTTTTGTATGGGTTCCAGGCCGCGCGGCGTGGAACACTGACGCTTTTCGGGGCGCCTGGCTGTCAGGCATAAGCCCATAAATCCGGCTACCCTTTTTTCGGGTCGCTAGGCAATTAGCCTGCTAGCTTTAGCTATAGGGGGTGCACCCTAGCGCCACCGACCCTCGCCACTTGGTCGCGACGCGCTGCCTAAATCCGGCACCTCTGCATCACCAGCTCGGGCTTGCGGTTTTGCTTGGCTGTGGGAAACCCTCGCAAAACATCGCGTTTACGCACGGTTTAGGCCATGTGGCTGACATCATCAGGTCTGGGGTTGGGCCTGGGTGATGTTTCAGCGGGGCTTAGTCTGCATCATCAAAACTTCCTTCCAAAAAGCCTCTCCACAAAAAAAACACTGTTTTTAAATAGGTATCGGAAGGGTATAAGCGAGGCTCATTTTTGCACATTTTGGCGCTAAGCGCTGCCGGGCATGCCGGCGATACTGGGTCCTCGCTCTACAAAACGCTGTAAATACCGCCAAAAATTACTACGCTGAGCGTTGGGCTGTTGTTCTATCCGTTTTGCTTTTGTTGTGGCTAGCTCGCATGCTGCGCGATCCTTGCTTTTTTCGCGTTGGTTTTCGGGCCTTCTCGTACGCGACCCCAGCCACAAAACGCTACTATTTACGGTGTTTTGTTATATTTGTGTTTTCGGCCTAACTTACGGACTACTCTTTTTGGGCTGCTTTTTTTGGGTCCTCTATCAACCTTCTAGGTTGGAGCCCGGATAGGGCCCAAAAAGCCGGCATCCCCGGCATTATCTGTGGTTAAGATGGGCAACATATATAACCTGACATAGTATAACTTCAAAGAGGCATAGCCGGCCAAAAACCGCAGGCCCAAAAAATATTAAAATCATATCTATTCATACATATTATTCTATCAACAAAAAAACATCCAATGCGAAAATCCTATTTTGCCATAGACATTTATATAATAAACACATTCTAGAAATTCCAATGTAAGAATAGCAATTTCGCACCAGCATAAAGCGCAGACTAACCTAACCCGCCCAGCCCAGCCTTGCAAGCACGCGCACGGCCCAGCAGTAAGCGCTGGGGCTAGCTCCTGAACCCTCGCAACGCATTCCAATGACCTCATTAGCCGGCCCCCAACAAGTTCTCGCCCCCTGGCAATCGCTTGGCTCGCATGCGCGTATCCCCAGTTAGCAATCCGCAGCACGACACGCGCTAGAGCAATGCTGCCGGGCCCTGTCACAAAGCTCATTCCACAGGGATGCGAACGAAACTTCCGCGAGTTAGAGAGGAAAATGCCAATGGAGCCCACAATGGTTTTGCTTTGAAAATTCATCACGGAGCCCACCAAGCGAAGCTTTTGTGCTTATCAAGGCTCATTGGAAGTCGGAATCTGTGCGAAAGCCGAATCAATGAGTTGGAAAAGTCATCGAAGCGCGGGACTAGCGATGGCGCCAACGTTTACAACCCTTCAGAATACCAAAGAATGCTTAGCCTCTCGACTTCCCAAGCTGAAGACAAGCTGCGGCTAGAAGCACAGCCAAAAACCAAGCAAAATCCTTTAGCGTCCAAGGGTGCCGCCTCATAAACAAAAGGCAAACTGATCATGCCAAGACAATGGAACAGTGCCGGACTAGCAAATACAAAACCCTCATTCGCAAATTGCCAAGCAACCCGGACAGATGAGTGACTCCATCGTCTGGTTTCATCGCAGTTAAAATATGGATTTTACATTTTGTTGCAGTTGGAATATGGTCACAATTGGTTGCAGCTAGAATATGAGCTCATTTGATGTTCATCGGAGTTGGATGAGGGGGGCTAGGATGGCTCACAAAATACAAATAATGCCACTACACGGGCTGTTGTCATTGCGCCATGTGTTTCATCAAGTGTTCAATATAATTCAGTTATTTGGACATCATATGTGATTTGTCCGGAATATTGTACAATTGAAACACGGTATTGCCTGCAGCAGAACAGTCAAACTCTCTCACTCTCTCTCTCTCTCTCTTTCTCTCTGTCTCGCTCTCTCTCTCTCTCTCTCTTTCTGAACCATAGGAAACCTCTTGCAAGCGAGGAGCCAGCAGCTTGTCTGCTTCAGACACAATACGGGGCCTGCAGCTTTTGAACGGCGGCGGTGTATTGCTGTTGTCACTCGGGCAAGCACCCAGGGTCAAGTACGTTTCCTGGAGAAGCTGGGTCCTGCCATGTGACAGTGACATCAGTTGATTCATTGACTGAAATGCCTCGGCCAGTCTTATTGAGCGTGGTCTTTGAAGCGCTCGTCTCAGAACCTGGTGGGCAAGCGCACATCCAGGCACTTGGTGCTGTGCGACCAGGCCAAACCAAGGACTTCACTTTAGGAAGCTGCTGCGCCCACACAAAGCGCTCACCACAGCCTTGCAACATGAGCACTTGCAAATCGCTTTGCCTTAAGCCTTTTTGCATTTTCGCAAGCACCCGCCTTGTTCTTCAAAAGCATGAACAGTGAACTCCTACAGCACTGAACATGACTACACCGTGTTTGCCCACAGCGCTGTGGGTGTGTCCTCCCAGTGGAGCAAGCCATGCGTTGCGTCGAACACAGCCTTGAGTCCATACATCTCCCCATCATGGGGCAAACATCTGGCTTCAGTTTGCATAGACACTTCTGCAATGTTGCGACTCGTCATTTATTCTGCCTAACGTTGAAATCCCCAGCTTCATTCCATGTCAAGCGGTTTGGGCTCACAAACCAAGCCAGAAGAAGGACACGAGAAGCCGGCTGGCAATCCACGGTACGCGATCTCAGCGGTGGTGCCACCACCTCAAAGTGCCAAGTGCGCTGACAGGTTTTTTCCGAATCTCGAAGTGTGGAGGGGCATGTGCGTCGAGGTGTGTGCAACAGGCAATGCTTTGGGGCCTTCACCTGAGTCCGGCAACTGTGCATTGAGGATTTGGGATGATCTTTGCCGCGCCAATTATCGAGGTTGTGTTGCAAGCCAGGTTTTGCACAATGCTTGGGGTTCAGAAATCGGTCGGTCCTACATGGTGCGTGTGTGTGACAAAGAATTTGAGCTGGAATAGCAAGTCTTATACTGGAGGCGCAAAGGCGAAGTAGCCCGTTCTTCAGTTGAGCACTTCGATCCGTTTTGGCCGAAACTGCGAGGGACCGCAAACATTACCATGGATCCACGGTGCTGAGTTTTGTGACTATGGCACATGCTAATGTCTGTCAATGCTTACCGTGTGCTTGCCCACTCCCCGCACTCTTGGAAGCCCCTGCCTGGCTTCGTAATGATGGCATCTGCAAGATCCATAAGCACAGCCAGCCGCTCTGCACTGATGTAGGTGGAGTTCGACCCTAGGCGAGACTTGAACACCAACCCAAAGAAAGTTTGGCCCGGTGTCCATTTTGGGCTCGGGTTCTCTCATGCCTGCCTGGCCTGGCTCTCTGGCCACCTCCACGGTCACTTGGGGGTCGCGGCCATGGAGGACCTGACGACAACACTTTCAGACTTCGCGACGTGACGCGGCTTCGCGGCTTGCCTGGACCCGGGACTTGGCCGACTTGGCCGACTTGGTCAAGGCATGCTCCAGGCGTGTCCGGATAGCATCATTCCTCGCAACGCCCCATTCGTTTCAGCAACTTCAACCAAGGGAACATCCTTGGATTGTCTCAAGCAACTTGCATGAAACCGAGGTCCCTCTGGCCTTCCAGTCACAACCAAGATGTGCAAAGGCACGCCGATGCCTGCATTGCCGAGCACTTCGGGCTCAGTCTCTGGCAGAATCAAGCACTAAAGAAAGCCTTCTGTTGCCAGCTGTTCTGGCCAGGGCCTAGGCTCTGCTCCCCCCGCCTCCCCCCGCAGGCAATTCGCAAAATCAGTTTCGCATGAGACAGCTGCACATCCTGGCCGCCACCGCCAGTCATCACAAGGACCACCTGCGGCCAGCTGCTCAAGTCTGGCACAACAAACCTACTTTCTCAAGAGAAAAGATAGGATATGTCCCTTTGCCGCCAGCTCAAAACCTGTTTGCGGCTTGGAGGGCGCGCGGCTTGTTTCTCTTCTCGCCGCGAGCTCTTCAGCCACGACTGCGCTCGGCACGTGCTGGAAGGCCTCGAAGCTCCTCCCCAAATGCACGTGCCGAAGCTCCTTTACCAAAAACCTTTGAGAGGCTGTCCTTGCCATCGCTTGCTCGGTCTCGGAATTTGGCCAACTATCGATGTCGTCAGTGCAGCATCCTGAGCTTTGGGAATGCGACTTGGACACGTTCAAAACAACATGAGGGCATGTCACTTTGAATCGAGGTGCTACGGTGCTACGTGCAAGTGCTCTTCCTTGAGGCTACAATGCACGCACAGGATGCGGCAGCAAGCGCAAAGTACGCTGCCAGCACCAAGTAATTCCTTGGACTCCGAACACTCGTCTAGCTTGAAAGGATCTCACAACGTCGCTCCTTTGAAATTCAGATGAGCCTCCTGCGCCCTTGGATGTCCTGCGATGATGTCACACTTGATCCCACACTTTGTTTAATCTTTGTCTCAAACCTACAGCCCCTTGGTGTCCGAACATGACAGGAGGATCCCTAGGTTTTGAGACCTACCGACCAGTCTGCGGTTCCCGTACCCAAGCAAACACTTGCCGTGCCCGGGCAGGGACATGGGGCACTGGTGTTGTTTCATGGATCCTGGGAGTATAAACACTCCGTGTAGACGTTCTTGGCTGTTCACTCACAATTGAAGTCTGCGAAGCCAAGCAGGTCCTTGAAGAGAAACACTGACCACAACGATCCGACGAAGCCCGGGCCAATCAGTATTATTGGAAAGGCAGCGGAGTAGCCCAATTCTACCTCAGCTGTCACATCTCATTCTTCTAGCAAAGTCAGAAGTGCCATGATCAAAACACATTGTGCCAGGCATGGTCATGGCTTCCTCAATGAGAACCGCAAGAGCCTAATACAGTAACATTTGCAAGTAAGCATATGTGTTGATCCATGGCACGACTGAACAGTGCAATGAATTTGTGTGCTGGAGAGTCACGTTAGCAACAAACCAGCAGGACTGCGCAATAGCCCACATCACTCCTTGCATGGCAGGCCATTGGGATGCTCAAGTGAGATTGCTCAAATGTGTTGCCACAGCGTGTCCTGAAAAGAAGCCAGGCAAAAAGATCTCTGGATTCACTTGGGGCTTATTCCCTCTCCATGCGCAGTAGATCAGAAAATACCTCAAGCCAAGCTCGTCCCGGGCATGCACACCCGTGAAGTTCGCCCAGGTGCACAATTGAGGTTGCACAAATTCCGCAAAACCTCAGTTGCTGGTTGTCCAAGCCTGGTTGGGTCTCAGGGGCATCAACGTCATACAGGTGCCGAGTGTTTGATCCAACTGAGCAAGTGGCTGATTGAAGACCTGAAACTTGAAGCATCAAGAACCACTGCACAAATAATTCCCGCAGTGAATCTTGCGTGTAAGGACCAAGCGTAGTCCAAACCGTTCTTTGAGGATGCGGACACGTGATTTTGTATCCAGGTCGACGGCAAGAAGTTGAGACCGTAGCCTTGTCTTGCCATGCAAAGTGATCAAAGTCACACAGCCATGAATTGAAATATCTTGATTCCAAGCTGCAAGTTCCAGCCGCTAATGCTGCAAGGACACCCTGGCACGTAGCAGCAAATGAGTCGCAATCAAAACCTGGTACCAACATGGTCTACCCGGAACCATGTAATTACAGGATTAAGAAGGCGGCCGCAGCTATTTATGGCTGGGATCGTCCCTTACTAACCTTCACCTACCCGGGTTTTGATTGTGGCTCAAATGAGGGAATCATCATACCAAGTGCTCCCGAATAGCCGAACCAATGTCTGCGCAACCAAGCAACATGAGCTTCTGTTCATTGTGACTTGTGCCCGGCCATCCACAGTTGGACACTTACGCTTGCATGCGGGCATCTTCATAGCGACATGTCTTGCCTTGGTCCTCTCCCAGGCTCTGCCTGCAGGGTCTACAGGCTCCTGTCTGGTTAAGACTTCTACATTTTGCAATGTGCAAAGAAATGGACGAACCCTACACCTGCAACACCTGTGAGACTGCATGCACTCACGCTTCAAGCAAAAGCTTGTTGACTTTGGCGGCACTTTGCAGTCATACGTGGATTGCCTGTCTCTTCACACTTGTCATTCAACTATCAAGACTGTCCTCTGTATGGCCGCCATCAGCAAGGAGAGGCTTCGGAGTTGGGGTCTTCCTCTGTGTCACAGCCACTCCCTCTGTTTCGAGCAAGGCATTAAGCGCACACAGCCATCGCGCCTAATGAAGGTGCTTCCACCCAAAGCAGCAATCGCCAATGCCAAACCTCTAGTCTCCGGGTTTCGCTCTCAAACTCATTCACGCCCCAACTTGCGTCATGTCCCACACAAGCCTGATACCTTCCAAATCAGCCGGCAAGGCACCGACCACGTTCAACCAAGGCTTGTCTAAACATCTCTGCTCCTTGGCAAACCCAACCTGTGTCTGCGCAGCGACCAAGCGACCAAAGGCAGCCGAGCTTCACTCGGCAAGCCAAAGAGCCCAAAGAAACCTGTGAGCCAGCCAATGATCAGAGCCGTGGTGCCCCACGTGACAAGTCCTGCACGTGACAAGTACAGCTGTGTGGCTGTGTCAGCTATATTGGGAAGAGCCATGTACATGGCAGTGCGGTCCTGGGCCAAGGCCAATCTGCCGGATGATGTACACCGTCATACAGTTCCCAGTGCACCAAATGGCGCCTCCGCTCATCGCCTTTAGTTGGGGAAAGCAAGCCAAAAGCTGGCCCCTTCACACAAGTCATTACATTGCAAACCGAGAACCACAGGATAGAAAGCAGGGTTGCCCCGCAGGAGCAACACGCAAAGGCCGGTTATCCAGATACCCAAGCACAACCTGACGATCGATTATGATTTCCGCAGCTGCTGAGCTCCATAGTTTGCCAAACCATGATGAAACGGCGTGCAAGTGGCTTTTGAAATGGTGCATCGGAAGCAAGCATCCTTCAGTCAAAACACACGAGCTGAAACAACATGCCATCTCCAGCATCGTATTTGGCAACGACCTTGGCCCAGGTGAATGCATACCTCATGCTTGGCATGCTCCCCGATCTAATTCTGCATCTGGCGCCAGGAGTCGCCGAGGCCCAGTCGGCGAAGTTGCTGCCAAAGAAGAGAACGGACACCAATGCACAAAGGTAGCCTTTGAAGGCTTCGGCACAAAGGCAAACACTTGTCTAGCAGTGTTTGGTCACGATGAATTCTAAATGCAGCCTCTAACCTTCCTCGCGTGTGGAAATTACATGACAGCTGCGGAGCCCCGGTCAGACTCAAGCACTGTCGTTTTCAAGAGCCAGGTAAATGCTGGAATGACGATGTGGCTTTGCCAGCAAGCAGCCTGCCAGGGCCACCATGGCTCCGGCCACAGTCTTCCAACACTTGAGCCAAACGGCTGCACGAGTGGCCAAAGGAGTAACCTGGCAAGAAGCTACTAGTAAATTGTGCCTCCCAAAAGTATCTCAAAACCTTGGTCTTAAGTTTGGGAACTTCGGAATTTTCGCCGAAGACTCTCCACACACAACTGACACAAGACGAGGATTGGCCTTCGTGTTCCTTGGTGCCAGCTGATCCCTCTGCTCGAGGATCCGGTCAGGATCCTGGACCAAATGCCCAGGCACGCCGTTGGCATCAAGCAAGCCTTCGGGAGCAGGAACGGCTTCCGCACGGGATACCCTGCCAGAAAGGTCCTTCACAGTAAGCACTGCTTGCAACTTATGGATACCTCGCCCAAAGTGAAGGAAAGCAAGCTTATTGCTGCACTTGCGACTCATTCAGCAATCGTCCTCTCATTCTCCAAAGGCAAGGCCGTTTGCTGCGAGCTCGGCTGCGGGAAAGGCATTGCCAGCTTGAAGCCTTAGCGCAATCAAGCCGAGCTGCAGGCCAATTTGGTCGCTCATCCGAGCCAAGGGCGGGGATAAATTGGCGCTTGGCCTTCACTGAACACCTGGCAGTTGAGACAACTGGATATTGCAAGCTGCAATGCAACCGCAGGAGCCTTTTTGTTGCGGAGTCTTTGTGCTCCTTGGGGTTGCCTTCGCAGCTCTCACTTTGGAGGCTGATTTTAAACACCAGCAGCAAAATCCCCTCGTCGGCCGCTGTATTCAATGTCATCTCTTTGGCTGGATTGGACAACGGCTGAAAACCAACCGTTGCAAGTCGATCACAGACAAATACACCAGCTGCATTGCATCTGTGGAAGAGCTGAGATAGCTCCTGATTCGCGCTTGTAGAAAAAGGAGCATTTGGCATAGTCAGCGCAGTCAGTCTATCCTGTCTACCATACACTACGTTTGTGGCAACGCGCCTTGGACAAGTTCTGTATCATAGGCCTTCCAGTGTCGCGAAAGACCTTGGTTTCAGGTTCAATCAAACAAAGAGAGTGAAAGAGACAGAGAGAGAGAGAGAGAGAGCGAGAGCGAGAGAGAAGAGAAGAGAGAGAAGAGAGAAAACGAGAGAAGAGAGAGAGAGAGAGAGAGAACGAGAGAACGACAGCTTCAGGCAAGGTGCGATTTCTTTGCAAAAAGGAATCGCACCCCTCGCCGCAAACCTCTATCAACGATAGGTTCCTGTCAGCGGGGGTAACTGAAGGCAGTATGATGAACGCCAACCTTGCCTCCGACTTCGGAGATGCGTCCAGGCTGGCCTGAGCTGTCCAAATTCAGGCGTTTGTTTGGTACTTCCCTGCACTTCTCTGCAACTAATGGGTTCCCAAAAAGGAGGTTCCTAAAACGAAGATCCATTCGAAAATATGGCTTTGGGAGGTTCCATGCTAATTTGCAGCGAGTCATTTGGGGATAGGGGTGCTTCTCATTGAACGCAAGCGGGGGCGTATGTCCTTTGAAGGCACTGTATAACTGCACAACTGCAATCGAACCAGTTATTTCTTGTTTTCTTCCTCCCGGTCTTCATCTATTTTCTTGTCGTTTCCCTTGTGTTTGCTTTCTTTCTGACTTTCTTTCTTAGCGTCTGTTTCTTCATTATTCCTTCCTTCCTTCCTTCCTTCCTTCCTTCCTCCTTCCTTCCTTCCTTCCTTCCTTCCTCCCTCCCTCCCTCCCTCCCTCCCTCCCTCCTTCCTTCCTTCCTTCCTTCCTTCCTTCCTTCCTTCCTTCCTTCCTTCCTTCCTTCCTTCCTTTCCTTTCTCTCTGTTTTTCTTTCTTTCTTTCTTTCTTTCTTTCTTTCTTTCTGTATTTTCGGTCTTTCTTTCTTTCTTTCTGTCTTTCTTTCTTTCTTTCCTTCCTTCCTTCCTTCCTTCCTTCCTTTCTTGCTGTATTTCGTTCGTTCTTTGCTTTCATTTCTTATCTGTTTGTCATTTTCTATTTTCTCTTCCTTCCTCGTATTTTATTCTATTTTATGTTATTTTCTCTTCTTTCGCTATTTCTTTCTGTATTTTATTTCTTTCCTTCCTTTCTTTCCTTCCTTCCTTCCTTTCTTTCCTTCTTTCTTTCTTCCTTCCTTCCTTCCTTTCTTTCTTTTGTTTCTTTCTTTCTTTGTTTCTCTCCTTCTTTCTTTCTTTCTTTCTTTCTTTCTTTCTTTCTTTCTTTCTTTCTTTCTTTCTTTCTTTATTTTCGTTCTTCCTTATTTCTTTCTTTCTTTCTTTCTTTCTTGCGTTCGTTCGTTCGTTCGTTCGCTCTTTCTTTCTTTCTTTGTTTCTCTCCTTCTTTCTTTCTTTCTTTCTTTCTTTCTTTCTTTCTTTATTTTCGTTCTTCCTTCTTTCTTTCTTTCTTTCTTTCTTTCTTTCTTTCTTTTCTTTCTTTCTTTCTTTCTTGCGTTCGTTCGTTCGTTCGTTCGCTCTTTCTCTCTTTTATTTCCTTCCTTCCTTCCTTCCTTCTTTCTTTCTTGCCTTCTTTCTTCCTTTCTTTCCTTCTTTCGTTGCTGTCTTTCTTTTATTTCTCTCTTTCTTTCTTTCTTTCTTTCTTTCTTTCATTCTTTCTTTCTCTCTCTCTCTCTCTCTCTCTCTCTCTTCGTCTCTCCCTCTCTCTCTCTCTCTCTCTTTCTTCCTTTCTTTCTTGTCTTTTTTCTTTCTTTCCGTAGTTTGTTTTGTTTCTCTGTCTCCATCTATCCATCCATCTATCTATCCATCTATCTATCAATCTATCTATCCATCTATCTATCCCTCTATCTATCCATCTATCTATCCATCTGTGTCTTTACGCGCACGCGGCCTTTTTTACCTATGGCTCTATCCAAGTATCTCTCCAGCAGATCTCTTTCCCTTTGTCCCTCATTCTCGCTCTCGCGTCTTTCTCTCTCTCTCCCTCTCGCTCTCTCTGTCTCTCTCTCTCTCTCTCTCTTTCTTTCTTTCTTTCTTTCTTTCTTTCTCTCTCTCTCTCTCTATTTCTCTCTCTTTTTCCCCTGTCTCTCTCTCTCTCTGTGGCTCGCGCTCTCTCTCTCTCTCTCTCTCTCGCTCCCTCTCTCGCTCTCTTTACCTATCACAAGCACCAGATTCGTTCTCAGGATGACCAGAAGTCGCGACTGCTATGACCGACAGGCAGAAGACAAGAAACGGGTCAGTCTTATGGTTGACAGCGTTGCCCGCCATGAACGAACACATCAAACTTCACAGGTGCAGATGCAGTAGGCAAACAAACTGTCAAACCTTTCTACGCGTGTGAAGTTAAGCAGCCAACCCTTCCAATCCTTCCAGATACAAGCTTGGTGGAACAAGGTCTTAACTCAACGCTGGGCGACAATCTAAGAATACAACGCGACAAAGGAGTACACAAGCAGACATCACAGCACTACAGCAAGGAGCAAAGCTACAGGCACACAGCACACAGCAGCGCGGCATGATAAAGCTTCGCCAACTACAACACTCACACCTGCTGACACCGGTTGCGCAGGAGACTGCTGGCAGTTAATACAAAAGGGGAACTTGTCAGCGGAAACACAGGAAGACACCCTCTGCAACGTTAGGGGCACAGCGCCCAGCCCCACCAAAACATCTGGAGGACTACACAAGAACAACCGTCAAATTCAAGGATGGCGCCGCAGAAAGTCACACCAAACCACCAGCAACACAACAATGCAGCAGCACCACACCAGGGGCGCAGCTGGGCGTGCCCTCAAAATTACATCATGGGCAAAGATACCTGAACTGCACTTGGGGGTACACCCCGATAGCGCGATTCTATTGAGTGGCCAGGGGGGTTGCCAAGGCATATTCCCATTCAGACGAAAAAGGCTCCTGTTTAAGATTGGTTCAATGACACATGAGTGGAGCAACTTGCAACCTGTTTACCTGATGTCAATGAACCTGCGAGTATCAGCACGCCAGTTGTTTTCTGCTGTCAGGCAATGTGTGGTTGGAGCCGTGTGTGGGAACAGAGGAGTACATCGACTTCCTCGACAAGGCCCCTGGCAAACCAACATTTGATCTGGTCAACGTCGCGCGCGCTAGCAAGCTGCGCGCGCCCCAGTAGTAGCTGAGGCACCGTACACCTGTGTTGTGTGGGACGCGCTTGTCTTGCATCTGCACTGTTGGTCAGGTTGTGTTTCATGCGCCTCGTACCTTTGAGGTACCTTGTCAAGTGTTTTAAGCTGCATTGGTCCTTAGTTCTTTTGCTCCCTGGCTGATGTGTGGTCTTGCGCGCGCTGGCCGTTCTATCTTTCCAACAAGCCAGCTTGCGTTGTTCGTGCACGCGGCTGCCTCTATGTCAGCGGTACTTCTTTTTGTGTTCTGCGTAATTGTGTGTAGTGATGCTCTGCACACCTACGAAAAGGAGATCGTCTTGATCACGATGTAGACTTCCGGCGCAGGAAGCATCCCGCGCAAAGTGGAAGAAGAAGCAAATCCTCGGTGGGCCAAGGAGACAAACTCCTAACCTGCCGCACGGGGCGCGCGGTGGCAGTTGTTTCGTTTTTGTTCGCTTTCGCTTTCTTGGCATAGCCTTTCTGAGCCTTGGGCCTTGCAAAGCTCTTGGTCCGGGCTTTTAGGGTGTGAAAAGTGATTTGGCGACGTTTGACAACAGCGGCTTCTGCCTGGGGCCAGGAGTTCGTGCGCTCGGCTGCAGAAAGAAGAACGCGAGCAGCCCAGCCAGAACACGCCTTTTGCTTCAAGTACATGCAGCTCTGTCACGCGAGCGCACACAGCAGGCCCGGTTGTCAGCGTTGGCAGACCAAATGCGCTGGCTTGGCAAGTTCTTCGTGTGGCTGCGGGAGCGAACAAGGCGGTTGGAACATCTGACTTTGATGAAAAATACGCCATGCTTCGAAAAGCGGTTGGTTGTACGTCGCGAACATCACACAGACCAGCCTAGGGAAGGGGCGCGCGAGGAATATCCTGCCGCATTTGCAAAGCAACAGCAACACGACCTGTGCGGCGTTTGCCCTTTCTCACCAGAGAAGGTTCATGAAGTGCCTCGCGCGAGACCAAGAGAAACTAAATTCCCCAAACCCTGCTTTGGGAGGTCTCAGCCCACACGCTACGTGGACTAGCTAGAGGTCATCAAGGAGGTCCATTTCTCTGTGCCCCCGTGTCACTTGCGCAGGAACGCGCAGCAAGCTCAGTCCATCGCCTGCCATTGCGCGGGGCCCATCAGATCGTTGCCAAGATGAAGCGGGCAGCGGGAGTTGCAGAACGCTCAAGCAGCAGCTGAGAAGCTCTGAAAAACCATGCCTAAAGCCTTGCATTTGCTCCAGGGTCAGACGGGGCCACTTGGCCGACAGTTACGCCGTGCTCGGGCGGCAGAGGGATCATAAATATCGCGCGGGCACGCTGCGAACTGGTGTGGGCAGGGCTCTTCGGTAAGGCGACCCCCCCGAAACAAATATGTATATACATATATCTATATATATATATATGTATTATGTATTTATATATATATATACATAGATATGTGTGTATATATATATATATATATTTATATGTATATATATATATATATATATTTGCAGTGCTCACTTCGCTGGAGAAGAGAGAGAGAGAGAGAGAGAGAGAGAGAGAGAGAGAGGAAGAGAGAGCGGGAAAACGAGCAAGCGACGCACAAATAAAGAAGAGAAAAGGCAAGAAGAAAAAACAAAGCCGGAAAAAGACAAAAACAAAGAGAAAGAGACAGATAAATTTGAAGAGGAAGCGAAAAGAGAAAAGAGATTACACCAGACCCCAGATGGCGAAAACAGGCGAATGTTTCCACAGCATCTCCAACAGCACCTCTGAATTGCGCAGCAAACAGCACCCCCAAAGCACGGCCGTCAACCTCGCAAACATGCGCTCGCACCATCACCAGCACCTCCAACAGCCACCCCAAACCGCGTCCCAAAACAGCACCAGCACCAGCACCCCGAACTGAATGCCTCTAGCACCCTGCTCTCAATCTCGGAAGTTAGAATCTGGGGAAAAGGGAAAAAAACAGAGATGTGAAACGAGAAATGAGAGAAGAGAAAAGAGAGAAGACAGAGCAGAGAAGAGAGAAGAGAGAAATTAGAAGAGAGAAGAGAGAAATTAGAAGAGAGAAGAGAGAAGAGATAAGAGAGAAGAGGGAAGAGAGAAGAGATAAATTAGAAGAGAGAAGAGAGAAGCGAGAAGCGAGAAGCGAGAAGCGACAAGAGAGAAGAGAGAAGAGAGAAGAGAGAAGAGAGAAGAGAGAAGAGAGAAGAGAGAAGAGAGAAGAGAGAAGAGAGAAGAGAGAAGAGAGAAGAGAGAAGAGAGAAATTAGAAGAGAGAAGAGAGAAGAGAGAAGAGACAAGAGACAAGAGAAAAGGTAGAGAAAGAGACAGAGGCAAAGACAGAGACACAGAGAGAGAGAGAGAGAAGAGAGAAGAGACAAGAGACAAGAGAGAAGGTAGAGAAAGAGACAGAGGCAAAGACAGAGACAGAGAGAGAGAGAGAGAGAAAGTAACAGAGATAACAAGACATGCAAAGTAAATGAAAAAAACAAGAAAATGAGAAAGGAAAAATGGAAGCACATAAAAGAACAAAACAATCAACATATGAAAGACAAAGACAAAGAAAGACTAACGAGAAAGAGAAGGAGAAGGAAAACGGGAAAGACACAGAAGAAAAAGCAAGAACAGAAAGAAAGAGAAAGATGAAGAGAAAGAGAAACAGAAACAGAAGTAGAAAGAAGAAGAGAAAGAGAACAAGAAAAGAAACAGAGAAAAAGACAAGAAAATGAGAAAGAAAAAGACGGAAGAGATAGATAAAGAGAAAGATAGATAAATATAAAGACAAAAACAAAACAAAAAAGAGGAATGAACAAATAAGCGTGCTCCAAACTATACTTCTTGCAGTATCAAAGTTTCCGCCCACCCCCCACCCCCCCAGCTGCGCCGGCTCTACTGGCAGCAGCATTGGCAGTAAGTGGTTCAGGGTGTGATTTGAGGGTAAGATTCGGGGGCATGCTTCGGGGGTATGCTTTGCACGGGTCAAATGTATCACTTACGGCTGGTCACCTACCAAAGTGGTTGCTTGAGGCAGGCCAATGACATCCCCATCGCGCCAGCTGTTTCTATATGGAGGCAAGCGCTCCAAACATAGCTACAAGGGCAGTTGGCTCAAGTACCTGACAATTTGCGAACAAGACTTCTTGCAAGCCGAGACACATACAGCTCCTCTATGATACGCTCCACTCTTGGAAGCAGTTGGTCCCTCCGCAGCTGGAAAGTGGGTGTCTGCAGTCCTGCCTTGCAGTGGACAGGGGGAGGCCAACCAATTGCTCTCCCCAGTCTCATCGTGACAGCCCTGCTCATCGTCTTGCAAAGTGTGAACAAAAGTGTGAACACTCTGGACAAGGAAGGAACCGCCGATTGGGCCAAAGATGATTCAAGTGAAACTGTAGGGCATGTACAAACCACGTTTCCATCGAATGTCCACTGCGGGATTATTTACTCTGTCTGGTGGGTGAACTAGGGGTATCTCAAAAGGCGAAGGATTGTCCCAAATGGGACACCGCGAATGATCAAGGATACTAGTCTGGGTTCCAATTAAGTTCCCATTACCCAAGCGCCTCCAGAGAGAATGGCATGACTTGGAGGTGGAGCGCGCGAGGCATTTCCGCCGCGGAGAACCCAAACCTCCCAGGAACAAACCCAGATTGATCAGAAGGGCTCACAAACCGCAGAAATCGACACTAAACACAGAAGCATGCCGATTTATTCAACCTACTAACAAGAACCTTCTAATGTATCACCAAAAGAGACAGTATTGACAGCATCTTCAATTTCACCGCCTCTCATGGCCAAGACAAAGTTTTGCAGTTGATGATTCATTGCTTTTGAAATATGTTTGCGGAGGTGTGCCGTTGAACGACCGGGCATGCCAGAAACTCAACTTCCACACTTTGGTTGCAGTCCCATGTGCGTTTGCCCGCAAGCATGTGAGATCTATCGCACATCTTTGACCAACTCCTGTCTAGACTCTAGACTCGTTACAGCGCGGCTCGCCTGCCCCCCAAACTAGGACATGTCGCTTGTGCGGGGTTCCTTGGAAGGGCTCCTGTTGCCTTCACACCCCTCAGCAGCTGCCTCTCGCCATGTTTTTGCAGCTCGTTCAGGCAGAGTCCAATGACACGGCGGTCCCTGCAAAGGTCCTTGGCATTAGCAAAAAGAGCTTTGGACAGACACACACACAGGCCACGACCTCTCCGTTGGAAGGCCCGTCAATGTTGCAGATCTTGGCCAGCCTCAGGACCCACGGCACCAAGAGCTCACTGCTTCTGACTTCGACAAATGTTCCCTCTAAAACCAAGATTCCAACATTTGAACAAGACAAGGGTGCGGCGTCGGAAAAACAGGTCCCTGTCTTAATGCCCAAGCTGTCTTGCTCCAAGTCTGATCCAATTGTTCTTTTCGTCTCCGTCCCTCGTTCGTTTCGTAGCTCAGGCGCCGCCAGAGCTCATCCAGGCGCACCGCGGCCACGCCCACCACTCCCGGCGGCTTCGCCACCAGCAGCAGTTGCATGAGCCAAGGCCTGGTGACCTCCACCAACGCACGTGGCTCCCTGAATCCTTAAAACTTTAAACCCAAGAGATTCAGACAAGTCCCAAACAAAGTCTTTGATCATGGCATCGGCAGTTTGAGAATTGAAAGGGCGACTTGTTTCTGGCTGGGACTGTCCTGACTTCCGTTCATCTACTCGGGTTTCGACTGTGGCAGACCTGCAGTTCAGTCAGAGCTTCAAACTGGTTTCGTGCATTCATGGGCCCCAAACACATCCGCAAGGTTGCTTCCGACTGACGAGACCTTGCCTGCAACAGAAGCTGCTCAAGCGCTTCGCAAAGGGCGCCCTTCTTGTCGCAGGACTCCTCTGCCCCCGGTCCCATGCCTCTCTAGCCTTTCCTGAAAGAAGCATGTGTGTGTGTGTGTGCACCTTGTGACGTGTCGGCGGATGGTCAGAGCAGGGGATGGCCGTATGTGTTGATCATCTGCGTCAACCCCAAGTAAATGAGTCTTTCATCAAGGCGTCACAGCTGCAGCGCACACATCAGCTCACGAAACCAACGAGACCTGTAAGGACACAAGCCGCCCGAAGACGTAGAGCTCGCGCTCCCGGCGGCCCACCACGATGCCGATCCGCGCCTCGCGCCAGCGGTCTGGCAGCTACGCGCCCACTCGGCACACTCCGCACCCGCGCCTCGTCCGTGCAAAGACCGCTGATGTGCAGCGTACCAAGCTCGATTCCAGCCTACATGCGCCAATCAAGGCGACGGAATGTGCATGTTGACCATGCTCAGTAGCTGACTTTGCTAGAGCCCAAGACTTCGAGTGGACCATGGCCTGCCTTAGATGACATGCCAACTCCAGCTAAGGCTGCAAACCATGAATATCGCACATTCGTGCTGGTTGGCTGACAAGGAACAGGCAGCTTGATGGGAATCAAATCCATCTGAACCTGAGTCTGACACGCACCGTATTTGTCCATCTCCGGCCGTCTTCTGCCCTACTGCCATTCAAAGCCTGGCCACACCGGGTAGCTCACGACCAATCGCAAAAGCCTGGTCCACGCGAGCAGCAGCACTCAAACAACATTGTTTGTCCTAAGAAGATTGTGACAGGTTCCTGTAGGGCTGTAGTGACGACACCCCAAGCCTCTGAGGTGTCCCCGAAGTACGGAGCTTCCCCGAGTGTAACCATTCCGCCAGCCTGTGCCAGAATGCAGCTCGAACTTAAGTCTGGACCACTCAGGCCGCAGACCTCCACTGAGACAAAGCTCTTCAACACAGGGCAGCCCAGCAACAGACGCATCCACAAGCAGCGGTCCTCAAAGGTCGGTCCCAGAGCGTGTGTGCAAAGTGGGGCAATGGCTCCATACCTTTAGGGGCTCCCTTCGGGCGTGCCATGGCACCGGCGGCAGGGCCGTGGTGCCGGCGCCACATAACGCCAGCACAAAACGCAGCCGCGTCTTGGAGCCCAGGAGTACTTGGCGAGGTAGCACCTGACTTCTCACGCAAGGGGGCAAATACCGACAAATACCCTCGGATGCCAATGATCTCTGAGCTTGACTGACGGCACCATTGATTTCCGAGGGCCGTTACCAATCTGCACTTCATGCCAATCTGCACTTCATGTCAACAACATCTGCTCACAACTCAGCCCCGTACAAATGGCTGATTCAACCATCGGCTGAGAGGCTGCGTGAGGCACCACCTTGCCACACGGCTCACAAAAGAGTCCTCGCTCTCGCTGTCCTCCTCGTCCATCTTGCTGCGTTCCAGAGCCCATCGCTGCAGCTCATAGCTCAAGTTGCCCAGCAGGCCGACATGTTTCAGCTGCAGGCGAGTGATCTGCCTCCGGAAAAGGCTTGCAGTGCCAACGAGGAAGGTGGGTTGAAGCTGGCGAATGTCTTGAAAGATCTGTGGGGAGCGCACCCCGCCGAAGAAGCCAATGGCGCCTCCAGCTGCCAACACGGCATGCAGCATCAGGCGCTCTGCAGTGAAGGCAGGCCAAATGTAGCTGAAGTGTCGGTCCTCGCTGGTGAGGTGCAGGGACTGACGCACCGAGTGGGCGCAAATAGCTAGGCCCCGCAAGCTCACAGACACTCCGGCGAGCTCGCTCTTGGTCCCTGACCTTGAGCGGTACATGGTGGTAAACACGTCAAAGCCGCTCACGCCGATGTACGGCACCCAGCCAGTCGCTTCACCAAAGTGCGCAATGAAAGGCAAGTCCCAGACCTGCAAGCCCTTGTGCTGGGCCAAAGCCGCAACCCTGGGCGTCAAAGGTGTGAAGGTCACGATGGGGCAGAAGGGCATCTCATCAATGCGGCGATCTGCAGCCACAAAGTACTCCACCCAGTCGGAGGAGCAAAGCAGCACCTCCAGTTGTTGGAGGCTGCTAGACACGGGAGCAGTGCTGCCTGTTGGGTTCGTGGCAGGGGCTGCCAGGCACACAGAGTTGGCGCCCAAACACATCAAAGAGAGGTCACACAAAAGCCAGTCAGCTGATGCATCGCCCAATAGCCCCACATGCGATCCACGCTTCATGCCGAATTTTCGATGCAGGCCAGAGGAGATGCGAAGCACTTCGAACTGCGCATCACCGTAAGTCATCCAGGTGTAATCTCCCAAGGTGCCGTCAGGGCAAACAGTGCGACGTCCGATACAGGGCCGAAGCCGGTACGACTCCACTGAGCCGTTGAAGCTGTCATAGGGGCTGGATGAAATCGTCTTTGCCGGCCTTTCCGACTGCGCTTTCAGCCGCTTTCTGAATGCAGAGCTGGCCAGTTCTGCCGTCACGGACATGGTTCTTTCAATGAGCGGTGCTTGCTGATCCCACATACGGCGTAGCAAAGTCAAAAAGCCAAAGCCAAGGCCAAGCGTGATGGCTCCCTGGCACAGCAGTTGTTGCGTGTGCGTGGGCACGCCCAGCTGATCTGAGAGCCTTGACAGTGGTGGAAGTTTGCTTTGACTGGGCCAAATCCGCCAAGAGGCCAGAAAGGCAGCACCCAACGAAACCTCTAGCCATCGCTTGAACAAGGCCTGCCAGGCGCGTGTCAGTCGCAAGGGGCGTGGCTTCAACTTGGAGCTCTTGGGCTGGCGCATCCAAGCAAAGCTGCAGCGGAATCTGAAGGTTGCCCGGATCCCGAAGTGGTCGCTGAGATACTGAAAGGGCGCGTTGGCTACTTCAAAGGGCTCGACCGTCGAGGCGTGGTGCTCGACCAAAGAGCTCAGCGTGGGGCGGTAGAAGACGTAGTCCAGGCGCTGCGGATACTTGTGCCTTGCCACGTACCCGGCTGAGGACGGCATCCGCAGCCGTGGGGGGCGAGTGCAGGGGTGGCGCCGGAAGAGGCACTCCGTGCCCAGTGGGTCTGCGGCCGTGGTGCCACAAAGCAAGTCCACCAGGCGGCCCTCAGGCTTTAGACCATAGCCCTTTCACTGTGAAAGATCCCGATGGCCCCGAACAACACGCCTCGCAAAATGGTTCCCTTTGAAATCAAATGGTTTCCTTCGCGTATTTGTGCGATTGCGGACAAGCCTTGGGATCCAAGGCGTAGATCAGGCGCTGGTAGTCCTCACTCTCCTGGCGCGGCGGCCGAAAGGGGATGCCGTAGGTGCCCATTGGATCCGAGGGTTCCGGGATGGCATCCACGTTGAAGTCCCCCGTGAGAAGGTACGGATGCTCAGTGCCTGCCACCTGCACAAACTCTCGCAGCTCTTTCAGCTGGGATCTTCTGATGCGATCAAAGACCTCTGCGTCACTGCCGGTGTGAGAAGCTTGCAGGTGACAATTGAACACATCCAGAAACCTGCCGGGGGCCAGCTCATACCTTCAGGGACGGGAAAAGGTGTGTTTGTGTGCATGTCTGTGAGTATATATATATATATGTATATATATATGGTACAGCGTTGCCAGGCCGCCCCCCAATGGTCATGGGTCAGACAAGTACCCCCCCCTGTGGGTTTATGGTTGGTTGCGGGTTGGCTTGTCCTGGGGGTGGGGGTGCCGGGGTGTCGGGGTGCGAGTTTAGGGGGTCGGGGTGAGGGTGGCACCGTAGGTGCCAAGATATATATATATATATAATGTCCGTGTGCGTGCGTGTACGTCTGTGTGTGTGTGTTTGAGCGTTTGTATGTTTATGTGTTGCTGTGATTTGGGTTTTGGGTTTGTGGATTGTGTCTGCGTATGTTTGGGTTTGTGGGTTTGTGGTTTGTGTTTGAGTGCTTGTACATTCTATTTTTGCGCGTCTTTGCCTTTTGTAAGTTCTTAGTTGCGTTTTGTTTTCGTGCGTGCGCGCGTGCACGCGTGCGTTTGTGCGTTTGTGTGTTTGTGCGCGCGTGCGTGCGTGCGTGCGTGCGTGCGTGCGTGGGTGGGTGGGTGGGTGGGTGGGTGGGTGGGTGGGTGTGCGGACGTGCGCGCATTTGTGTGTGTGTGTGTGTGTCTGTCTGTGTGTGTGTTTGTTTCTGTGTTTCTCTGTGTTTCTGTGTTTCTGTGTTTCTGTGTGCTTCTGTGTGTTTCTGTGTGTGTGTGTCTGTGTGTTTCTGTGCGTGTGTGTTTGTGTGCGTGTGTGGCGTCGGGGTTGTAACCACGACTGGCAATGAAATGCAAAACTGCCGTTTGACTAGAAAACCCACGATTTTGGCACTGGACTTTTTGACCCTTTCCCAACTTAAACGTGTGACTCAAAATGCAAAGATACAGTGCCCAAAGCGCCTTTTCCTAGTCAAACGGCCGTTTGACTGACTCAAATGTACAATCCAGCGCCGTCTTTCCCAGTCAAGCAGCCGATTGATTCGGAAAGTACCGGTGCAAAAATGATCTTTTTCCGAGTCAGCGGTCAAAAATGTCAAACGGCCGTTTGACTCAAAATGTACAGTCCGTTTTTCCTGGTCAAGCGGCCGTTTGATTCAGAAAGTGGAAATTTGACTCACAATGTGCCAAAATCGTTGTTCCCGGAAGCATTGCGAAGGGTTCTTCTTCTAAAAGCGGCTGCAAACTTCACCTGCCAACTTCTCATGTCAACTTTTCGAGAGTTATTTCACCTGCCAACTTCTCTTGCCAACTTTTCGAGAGTTATTTCATCTGCCAACTTCTCATGCCAACTTTTCGAGAGTTACTTCACCTGCCAACTTCTCATGCCAATTTTTCGAGAGTTACTGCACCTGCCAACTTCTCATGCCAGCTTTTGGAGAGTTACTTCACCAGCCAACTTCTCATGTCAACTTTGTCAACTTTTCGAGAGTTATTTCACCTGCCAACTTCTCTTGCCAACTTTTCGAGAGTTCTTTCATCTGCCAACTTCTCATGCCAACTTTTCGAGAGTTAATTCACCTGCCAACTTCTCATGCCAACTCTTCGAGAGTTCCTGCACCTGCCAACTTCTCATGCCAGCTTTTGGAGAGTTACTTCACCAGCCAACTTCTCATGTCAACTTTTCGGGTGTTATCTCATTAACTTAAAAACACAAGCTAACTTTTCTTCTCTTCCTTCACATCTTGACTTTTCGGGTGTTGTCTCACTATCCTAAAAACACAAGCTAACTTTTCTTTTCTACCTTCACATCTCGACTCATAATTCTTCTTCTTTTTATGGCGGGGGTAGGCCCAACAAGAGCTTACGAAACATACCCTCTGCGGAGATCGTGCGTGTCGAAGCGCTCTCGCTGTGGTGCCGTGCGAATTTGTCTTGACCTCGGCGAACCCTCTGCGGGGATCGTGCGTGTCGGATCGCTCTCGCTGTGGTCCCGTGCGAATCTGTCTTGACCCCGATGAACCCTCTGCGGGGATCGTGCGTGTCGGATCGCTCTCGCTGTGGCGCCGTGCGAATTTGTCTTGACCGCGGCGAACCCTCTGCGGAGATCGTGCGTGTCGAAGCGCTCTCGCTGTGGTCCTGTGCGAATCTGTCTTGAGCCCGATGAACCCTCTGCGGGGATCGTGCGTGTCGACGCGCTCTCGCTGTGGTCCCGTGCGAATCTGTCTTGAGCCCGATGAACCCTCTGCGGGGATCGTGCGTGTCGGATCGCGCTCGCTGTGGTCCCGTGCGAATCTGTCTTGAGCCCGATGAACCCTCTGCGGAGATTGTGCGTGTGGAAGCGCTCTCGCTGCGGCGCCGTGCGCTTTTTTGCTCGCGAAACGGCCTTTGGAAGTTGTCTCGTGGTTTGCGCACCTGCTTTCGCAATCCTGCTGTCGCGGGTTCGATTCCCCCCTGGTCCGCGGCAGCTGCAGCTTGAAAATCGCAGCTTTGAAGTACAAACGTAGTACGCGGAGCATGCTCCTGCAGCTCCGGCTGGAAGCTTTCGCAATCGCGGCGTCGCAGGTTCGATTCCCCCTTGGCCCGCGCCAGCTCCGGCACGAACATCGCAAGTTTTAAGTACAAAAGTAATACGCGGCAAGCATCCCCCCAGCTCCGCCGGAAAAAGAAGAAAGAACTCAGTCGAGAAGAGAAGGTAGAAAAGGAAAAGTTGGCTTGCGGTTTTTCGGATAGTGAAGCAACGCCCGAAAAGTTTGCCTGCGCTTTACGATGCCGAAGAAACGCCCGAACAGTTAGTTTGCGCTTTTGGATGGTGAAGTAACACTCGAAAATTTGGCTGGTGTTTCGGAACACTGCATTTACCTTGTGAAGTGAGATTGCGCAGTTGGCTGTTGTCATTGGCTTGTGAAGTGAGATTGGGCAGTTGGCTTTTGCGATTGGCTTGTGAAATGAACTTGCGTAGTTGGATTGTGGAGTGATGGGCAGCTGACAAGAGCAAGAGTAGCCAAAGCTTGGATGTCATGAGTGTCTCAGTAGCGGAGCTTGCCCACAGAATGTTTGCGGCGACAGTCGGTTAGGGCGACAGTGCTTCTTTGTGTTCGTGTTATGTTTCATTTTTGGCGGGGTGCTCCATGAGTTTGCTGTCCATCCTCATTGCTGCTTGCGCGCGCATCCAAGGCAATCCTCCGCGCTAGTGCTGTAGAAGGTGTCATCGCTCAGATCGCATCTTCCGAAGTGCGGATTTGTATCCTTGGCGCACCAATCTTGTCAAAGCGGGTACACACAGCGGGTGGCCAGAAGATATTACCAACATGTCGTGTTGCCATGTAGTGCAGATCTGTATCCTTGGCTCAAGGACGAGTTTCTGCTCCTGCACAAGCGGCGCACGCCAGTCGATGCGACGCAGCCCTGCGACGTATGTCGGGACTGCCAGGCCGCACTGCTCAGCTCCGTGCTTACCCTGCCTCGCTTCAGCCTGGCCAATGATCTATGGATGGGTAGGCAGATGCAGCCGCTACGGAACTTGGCCGCGGGCACACGCAGGCTGCTGCCCATGATCCGGGCCTGCTTGCAAGTGACAGTTCTGCAGCCGGCGAACCTGCAGAAGGAGGAGCGACAGCGGGGCTTCGTCGGCAACAGCATCTTCTTGCCGCAAGCGCAGCCCAGCGCCATACGGACTACGCTGCCGCCCCCTGAGTCGGACATGCAGGAGTCCATCCTGTTCGTTCTCGTGGGCCAGAAAAAGGACACACTAGCTGGCTCGGCTTTGCTGTCATGTCCCCGAGACGAGTACGACGCTGCCGTGTCCTGCCTACAGCGCACCAGCCCATATCATCGGAACGTGGAGCTGCGGCACGCCTCAGAGTCACCCATGCAGGGCTGCTTCTCAGGACAGCTATCTGGCTCGCGAGCTGCTGCAGAAGGGACCCGCGGATGCGCAAGGCCAAGATGAGGAGTCGGATAAGGATGAGACAACAGAACCTGCGGCGCATGGATCTGAGCATAGCGCTGTGGAAGAAGACACAGGCCAGGTTCGGTGTTATCTTTTTTTGGCTGATGCTTTGAAGCTTTGTTGGCTAGATTGCTGATGCTGGCGGACTTTTCCGACGCGTCAGGACTATGTCTCGTAGTGCTGTTCTTGCATGTGCGTTTGCTACCGAGGCCACATGCTGTCCACCATCGTCGGCTTGAATGATGGCGCAGACGAGCAGAACAAGTGGGTCCGCGTCGTTCGCGACTTAGAGGAGCTGCGCAAACGCCCCCCGCGCGCTCGGCGTAGCCATGCGGAGGAGCTGGCGCGCAATCGCTTGAACAACAACATGGATGGACAGGTGCCCGACGGAGATCGTCAGCTTCTGGGGCGTGAAGGCGCGCACGAGCGGCGCACGATCAACCAGATCCGCCGCGCGCAGAGCCTGGCGCGCGGCACTGCTGAGAGCGAGCGCAGGGCGGAGGCCAGCATGAGGCCGTCCGAGCTCGTCGTGCCATCTGGAGCGGAGCCGGCGAGCATGTTTGAGCCCTCCACCTGGGCGATGGCGTATCCCGACTTGTTTCCATGGGGAGACGGAGCGCCGTTCCTACGACGCGACACTGCTCTGGACGCACCGGAAGTGTTTCGCTACCTCTTGCTGCGGGAGGAGCTACACTACATCTCGTGCGAGGATGAAGCGGTCGCGCGCCCCATGCTGCCCAGGTGGTCACTCTCGGAGTCTTTGCTTCCTGTGATGTACGATGTCAGCCGCAGACTTCACCTCATGCGGGCAACCAAAGCGCACGTTCAGCGCCGAGGTTTCGGCAAACACTGCAAGCTTACTGCCAGTGTTTTGGTCGAGCACCTGCTGCAGGCCATGGCCCTGCACGGCGAAGCGGCCGACGTCCGGAAGCTGCTGCAGGACGACGCGGTCGACCTACCGCTGAAGCGGGCCTTAGGAGGCGTGCTGCAGGCCACGGCCAGCATCATTGGCATGGAAGGCCATCGCAGTCAGATCGTCACGCAGCTGGATGGCACTACGGCACTCCTCACTTGTTCGTGACTCCTAATCTGGCTGATGTCCGCTCTCCTCTCCTGCCACAACTGCA